GGGTTCGGGTCATGACATCTAGATTAGCCATTTTAGGAGTAGATTAAACTAGTAGCTTTTCCAAACCCCCATTTCTCTTCTTTCTGTCGATTGTTGTATTTATTCATTTTTTTGTTCTTGTAACTAGTAACTAGTGAAAAGTGACAATTTATTCGAATTAATGCATATTCTATTCTGTTCCTTTTCTTCTTTACTTAATTACCTCCAGGGAAGTCCTTAATCTGTTTAAGGCATAGGACTCAACCACAAAGTCTGATCTTTTTGTGTTTATTTAAAATCTGTTTAAGTCTGTCGATCAATCATTGTCGATTGGGCCTAAACCACATTTTAGCTAACATAAATTGGCACGCCTGGTGGGACCATTCTAACTTGGAGTAATGGTGAAGAAGAAAACTAAAAAAACTAAGACTTACTGACGCCAGCAGGAAAATTGCTGATGCGTCAGGCCTTCTTGGGTATCCAAGTAAGAGGCCTGCTGAAGAAACAGGTACCCCTACTGGCTTTCCTGAGTTCAGGGAAGACATGGACGTCATTGCGGATAGCCAACCAATGGCAACCAGATACGGAGTAGGATTGAAAGATGGTCAGGACACAACCAATGGAGGCCATCACCATGGCCTGGTAGTTGAACAGATAGGGGAAATGATGCCCAGCTTGGCCACACGTTCGAGATGAGACCAGAACACCTCACGGAAAGTATAAGGGCTAAGCTCAGAATGCTTGGGGGGTTCAGCCTTGCCCCTAGTCCTCCACCACCAGCCAAAGTGGAAGCACAAGCAACTAAGGTACAATTTCAAACCTTTAAGGCAAGTAGGATTCACTAGAGTAGTGCCTCTTTTTTATAGGCTTCCAACTCTCCAAGAGGAGCAAGAGAGGTTTCAAATGAACCCTAATCAAACATATAAGGAAACTAAAATTAACATTAATTATGGAGGGCAATCTGGTCCCTCTAGGTCTGCCGCTCGAAGAGAAGCCTTGGAAGGGAAGGCACATTATAACCCAACCTTCGAAATGAATAATAGACCAAAGCAAGGGGGGCAGAGTTGGCCCTTGGAACAGGAAGAACCAATGCACGACATGGTCAGACCTATGCCAAGGGGGCAGTTGAGAACCCCTGAGTATGAGAAACCTGTTGTCGACAAACCAAGAATAGGGCAGTATAACTTTGCTGACTAGAGGCCTATGCGAGGGGGGCAATTTAGAGCCCCTAGATATGAGGAACCTGCCGTCGATAGACCAGGACTAGGACAATACAACTTTGCTGACCAAAGGTTTAAACAACCAAACTATGATAACCCAAGACCAAGGGTCAACCAAAGACCTAGGTAGCAGGTATACCAAGAACAAGGTTTTAGAAATCACGAGCCACAATGAGGACCTAGACCACCCCCTCGACATTTTGAGGAAGAAGGTGTTGGTTTGCAACCACCTTGACAGCAGCACTTCCAGCTATATGAGGGAATTGTTGCACTAAACTTTTCAGCCGCAAATAAAATGAAGGGATGGGGTATGGCACCTATCATGAGGAGCCAAATTTCGAACCGACCCAGATCAATAGACATCAAATTATGGAACCAATTCAAGAAATGTATGGCCCACAGGCATCAGTAGGCCTAACAGGCCAATGATCAGAAAGCCATACCCTTATTGGGTAAATGAAACCCCTCTTCCCAGAAACTTTAAAATGCCTGAATTCTCCTTATTCACAGGAGAAGAAAGACAATCGACCATAGAACAAATAGGAAGGTTTACCATGCAATGTAAAGAGGCTAATTCATATAACCTGAAGCTGAGGCTCTTTCCACACTCATTATCAAAAGTGGTCTTCACATGGTTCATTAACCTGCTAGAAAACTTAGTACCCACATGTCAGGACATAGTAGGCAAGTTCCATGCACAATTTTACAGGACTGAGCTAGACATTAGTATGGTGATTTAGCCAATTTTAGGCAAAAGTAAGGGGAGTCTACAGAACAATACATCAACAGGTTCAAAAAGGCTAGAAATAGTGCCACGTCTATGTGCCTTAAATAGAGGTGATAAAGCTGGCCCAGAATGGCCTTGACTTCGAGTTAAGAAAGAAGTTTGAAGGAAAGGAATTTAGAGATTTGTTTGAACTTTCATCTAGGGCAACTAGTTATAAGTCCATCCTTAGGGAAGAGCAGCAAAGGAGGGCTACTGCCTTAGGAACATATTACCAGAACATAGAGCTGGAAACATAAATAGACATATATATTGCTCAAATCTTGGGAGCACTAATTAGTGCTCCCACTAATTAGGTGGCAGTGGGTCCCGCCATTAATGATGTGATGTTTTGGTCTTGGAGTTGTATTTTATTTTATTTTTTTTTACTTTATTTTATAAATTTTGTACCTATTGTAGAAATAATTTTTAGATGCATTCAAATGAAAACAACCTACTACCACGAGGGTATATTAATTTTGTCAAATAATAAATAGTAAATTTACTATTTATTGCACATAAAGTATTATTATTTTAAACTGATGCAACCAAAATTTATTTTCATATTTTTTTTTGTGTCAAATGATTGTAAAAAATTTATATATTTAAAATTCACAAATTATTCCATAATATTTTAAATATCATCAAAATCAAACACATGATTAACAGTAGTGCTTTGGTAAATATATTTGTCAGATTATCACTGGAGCGTATCTGTTGAACATCAATATCATCATTCTTCTGGAGCTCATGTGTGTAAAATAATTTTGGTGAAATATGTTTTGTCCTGTCACCTTTGATATAGCCTTCTTTGATCTGTGTGATACATGCAGCATTATCTTCATATAATATGGTTGGACTATCTTTTGTTGAAGGCAATCCACATCTTTCTTGAATATAATGGATATCATGGATCTAAGCCAAATACATTCTCGACTTGTTTCATGAATTGCAAGTATCTCTAAGTGATTTGAAGAAGTAGCAGTCAATATTTGTTTTACTGATCGCCAAGATATAGTAGTATGCCCATAAGAAAAAACATATCTTGTTTGTGATTTGGCTTTATGTGGATCTGAAAGATATCCAACATCTGCATATCCAATTAACTGCGGCTTGGATTTATTTGAATAAAAGAAACTCATATCAGTTGTTCCACGAAGATAACATAATATTTGCTTTACTCTATTCTAATGCCTTCAGGTGGTGCGGAACTATATTTTGCTAATAAATTGACAGCGGATACAATATCAGGCCTAATACAATTTGCAAGATACATGAGAGCACCAATTATACTAAAATATGGTATTTCAGGACCAATGAGTTCTTCATTATCTTCTCGATATCAAAAAAGATCATTTTTCACATCAAGAGATCTAACAACCATAGGAGTACTCAAAGGATGAGCTTTATCCATATAAAAGTTCTTCAACTCTTTTTCTGTATATGTTGATTGATGTATAAGAATCCTATTTGGCAAAGTTTCGATCTGCAAACCGAGACAAAATTTTGTTTTGCTATGATCTTTCATTTCAAATTCATTCTTTAAATATTCTGCAGTTTTTGTAAGCTCTTCTAGAGTTCTTATAAGATTCAAATCATCAACAAATACGGCAACAATTGCAAATATGGATTATGATTTCTTAATAAAAATGCATAGACAAATTGGATCATTTACATATCTTTCTTTCAACAAATATAGATTGAGCCGATTATACCACATGTGTCCGGATTGTTTCAACCCATATAGAGATCTTTGTAGTTTGATTAAATAAACACTTTTGGGTTTTAAATTAGATGTTTCTGGTATTTTAAATCCTTTAGGGAGTTTCATATATATATATATATATATATATCACTATCTAGTGATCCATATAAATATGTTGTAATTACATTCATTAGGCGCATATCTAAATTTCTGTGATTACTAAGCTAATAAAAAATCTGAATGTAATTGCATCCATTACGAGTCAATATGTTTCTTCATAATCAATACCAGGTCTCTGCGAGAAACCTTGCCCAACAAGTCGTGCTTTATATCTTACAATTTCATTTTGTTCATTGCGTTTTTGAACAAACACCCATTTCTGTCCCACAGGCTGTATCCCTTCAAGGGCTTCGACTATAGGTCCAAATATTTCACATTTTATAAGCGAGTTTAACTCTGTTTGTATTATTTCTTTTCACATTGGCCAATCATTTCTTTGTCGACATTCATCGACAGTTTATGGTTCATTGTCATCATCACTTTTGATAATGTTTTACTTTGAACCAATGTTTTGAAACCCGGACCGGTGAGCGAACTAGAAAAGTTACCGGATAGACGAGTCACCGATTCAACCGTCGGGTCGAAGCGGTCGAACCGTGACGTCATAATTACGTCATAAATATATTTAATATATATATATATTAAAAATATAAATGTAAAAATTAAAAAAAAAATTTAATTCAACAAAATAATAGAATTTTCAAATATCACTCATAATAAAATTGTAATTTGCAATAATAATGTGACATACCTTATTTTTATTTGTTGAAGACCTTTCTCTAAATGGGTTGCGCAACCTTTTGCCAAGTAAAAATTACTGCACAATCTACACATTTATCAAAGTTAGAAAATAGAACATATTCTAAATACAATCATAATAATAAAAGTAATAAAAGCATTTTACTAAAAGCAATTAAGATTACCTATTTGTCAAATAAAACACAAACATAATCAAATAAAAATATTATAGTTTACTACATCAATTAAGAGTCAAATTTCAAACACAAACATGAACCAAGCAAACATAGAGATAAGATCTATAATTACAAATCTTAAAACACAATAATGAGCATCTATCCTTTCTAAATGAAAGTAGACAAATACATATAAAATAAAAATAAAAAAAGTTCAAAACCAATCCACTACAAACACATCATGCCACAAAAACATTGTTTTTTTTTGCCTAATTCCTTGGCAAGCCCTCCATTAGCCAAGCATCGTCATCCTTATTTTCATTGTTGCTTGTGCCAACTCCACCACTTTGAGCATTAGATCAATCATCCATGTTGACATCACCAAATGATCCAAGGTCAATATCATCTCCAACCTCTAAGACCACATCCTCTCCGTCATCTTCTACAATAGTTACGACAAAATCAATAAGTAATCAATTTAATAATAACAAAAACATTGTTATATAATAATGAAATAATTAATTACTATCCATCACGTAGACCATGACATTGCCTCTTATTTTGTAGAGCCGAACTTTCTGGATAAAGCATTTGTTCCAACTCATCAAAATCAAGAAGAGGAGGCTCTTCTTCATCTTCAACAATCCAAAACTCCGTTTTGTCAATACTTTCAATGTCAACCGGATCATAGTTCTTCATGTTGTTGAAATGTCTATAATTTTCACTTAGAAGTAAGATTACTTGAATAAATATTCTATTACTAAATGTATGACAACGTAAATGGTTCATTTACCTATTCTTCAATCGCAAATTATAATGAATGTATACAAGATCATTAAGTCTTTGATGTTCCAATCTATTCCTCTTCTTCGTATGAATACGTTCAAAAACACTCCAGTTCTCGGGTCGGGCCTGCCCTGGGCCGCTGGCCAATTTTATACTCTTATTAATGTGAATGTTAACATGCCAATATGAATATTTACATTGTTAACAGGCTGGGCCGGGCTCGTCCTGGGCCGCCCACTGGCCGTGGGCTGGTTTTGGGCAGCCATAAGGCGCGGGCTAATTTTACACTCCTATCAATGTGTATGTTAACATATCAATGTGAATATTCACATTCTCAATGGACCGGGCCGGCCTGCCCCCAGCCGCGAGCGGGCTTTTGGCCGCCCATGGGCCGCGGACCAATTTTATACTCTTATCAATGTGAATATTAATATGTCAATGTGAATATTCACATTGTCAACGGGCCGAACCGGGCCCGCCCATGGGCCGCGGGCGGGTTTCGCGCCGCCACGGGACGTGGGCCAATTATACATACCCTCATATACATATCCCATTGAAGGTTTTTTATCTCCATCAACAACACGCAACAATCTCATGAGTGGCTCAACAATCTTAACAATGGTCAAGTAATCATTTGAAAACTTACTATCTAAAATGATAGCAACAACTTCTTTTGCTTTCTTATCTTTTGCATGCCTTGAATCGACAAAATCCTTACTTGTCACTAAGGCTTTCAAATCATGCATATGTTTTTGAATACTAAGCAATGCAATGAAAGTAGTGGCAAAACAGGTTGCTCCTGGGCGCACAATTTCAGTCCATCCTTTCCTTTTCCTCAACCAAGCTATCAACCATGGGCGATTGTAAATAAATCTTGTCACACTTGATGCTCTAGACGCAAACTCTTTCACATGATTCAACTTGGAAATATCACTTAACACTAAGTTCAAACAATGTACTGCACAAGGAGACCAATTACTATTCTTGTAAGTTTCACTAACAAGCCTTCCAGCAGCAACATAATTTGCCCCATTATCTATCACCATGTGCACAATATTGCTTGCTCCCACCCACTCAATAATTTCTTCAAACAATTTAAAAAGAAGAGGAGCATCTTTTACAACATCAGAGGCATCAACAGACTTAACAAAAGTGATTCCTCTAGGACAATAAACAAGAAAATTAATGAGAGTTCTATGTCTACCATCAGCCCAACCATCACCCATAATTGTACACCCAAAATCAGCCCAAGTACTCTTTACAGAGTCAATAAACAATTGAAGCTCTTTCTTTGAGTCACTCAATAAAGGAACTCGAACTTCATGGTAGGTAGGAACTTTAAATCCTGGACCAATGGCGATTACAGAATCAAACATGGGCTGAAAGTATATGGAATTGACAACATTCATTGAAACGCATTGTGGACGTCCCCGAACGCCCCGGGAGGATGAGTCCCGTTCTGTTCATATTGGGTTCACTACAGTTCAGGACTCTCAAATTGTCACGATTCTTAACCTGAACCAAAGAGTCCAAATCTGGCAAATCGTTTTGGAAAATAGATTTTTAGAAAAGAAGTGTCAAACATGGACTGCTTTGCCAGATACAGAGTCGCCAACTAAATATTTTATTTTGGGAAATTTAGGAAACCCTGACTCGGTGCCAAAGGCCACGTGTCCGTCATCACCAAAGTTGTCTCGGCTTGGGGACTTGGGGACGATTGGGAAAGATCAGCTATGAGCACCCCTTCTCGCCCGATCAAAGATCGGCATCTACTAACCGTGATATCTTGTTTTGAAAGCATTATGTGTTCCTATTCCAGTTATTAGCCTAAAATTACTATGTTATGTGCACAGCAAACAAGTATAGACCAAATCGCCTAATTTGGAACAAACCATTGCATGCTTGTTTTGAAAATGGTTTGCTACTCATAAGTAGGCTAAAATACAGGTTTTGCCACCCTCAGGTGGGCTTAGAAAACATGATTTTGCCGCCATCTAGTGGGCTTAAAACTCACAGTTTTAGTGCATTATTCCAATTTAGGTAATTTAACCTCCATCCGCAGGCATTCAAGCAGTTATATCACACAAGCAAATAGCCTCATGGTAAGCATGCTGTCATGGCAATACTCGCACGCATGCAAAGATGCTAAAACATAAGAACTTACCGAATACTCCGAGACAAAATGGAAACTAGTAAATAATCACATGCATGATCCTAGTTCATGTTAAGATGGCTAATGCAACACATGCAAGATGCAACTACAATAGGCTCGACTATTCTAAGATGACATATGATAATGCTACAACTAACACGTATTCAACTTAGAATTGAAATACAATGCAGTTAGTATGATGTGCCGAGCCCGGTGCATGCAAGGCAAATGAATGGATGCAAACATGCTATCATACTGTATGCTAATTGAAACATCCCCTAAACTAACCAACGAAAGCTAGTAAATAAAAGGGAAGAAAGACGTGGGGTTGGGAGACATACACACACTCACGCACACTTATTACACAATTGCCCTCACTCGGAGGGTCTGAATAAAAATTACACAACCAAATTAATTATTACAGAATACCTGACTAATTAACAAATTAAATGCAGAAGAAAGGTGGCCCCAACCCTTCATCGAAATGTGTGAATGATGCATGCTTGACTCGTCTCGCCCGAAAACTCGCTGCCATAGCACTGCTGCCTCTGTTTCCACTGCCTTGCTCCTCTGAAAATTCTGAAAGTCTCTATACCCCTTTTGGATCATCCTCTGAGTGCTCTGGGATGTCACCGGCCAGAATTAAAGTTCACCGGCCATGGTAATGGGATTATCGGCCAACTTTTGTACCACCGGCCAGCCACTGATAGTCGGTCGGCACTGTAGGTGGCCGGCCGGCCACTGCTTCCTGCAGAATATTGCAGTTGACAGTAGCAGAGGGCAAGCAATGTGTGGCATGGAGTTTTCAAGCAAATATGAGCATGGCCACACTCCCTATCATGCAATGGACTCAAGGGAGCATTAAGAAGAAAACACACCTTTAGGCTCTCAAACCCACACAAATGAAGAGAGGAAGGGAGATATAGAGAGAGAAAGTGTATATCAGATATATATGTGTAGTTTTCTCTGGTTTTTGCTGAACCTAACAAAGGGGAGGGTTGGGGCTCTTATATAGACAAAGCAAAGACTAAGCTTCCAAGGGAAGTTATTCAAAAAGGGCCAAGTCTTCCTTAAAAAGCCAAGGCAAAGGGGCCAAGGCTTCCTTAGGAAGCTGGGACAGGTGTCCAAGCTTCTTAAGGAAGCTAAGACAAAGGTCCAAGCTTCCTCAAGAAGCTAGACCAAAAGGGTGCAAAAGGGAAAAAACAGCCACAGATATGCACGGGGGTAGGGTTTGTGCATTCCAGCAGGCACAGCTGGCATGCACCATGCTTGAAAAAGGCTAAAAGGTGGTACCAGCCAGAAAAGAAGGCCATCGGCCAACAGGTGGTCAGCCGGCCACACAAAGTGTCGACCGGCCAATGGACTATTTCACCAATGGCCGATAGCCTGAAAACACGGCCGGTGGCCTCAAGCCATGGCCGGTGGGTATCAGGTGTAAGCTAGCATGCTACTCTCTACCCTCAGGTGCAAAAACAAACAAGTCCTTGGGGTAAAACCAAACACAGAACAAGCAAGTCGAGAGATCCTGAGGCAAGGCGCATAGCCAAGACCTCCGGGAACTCAAAGCAAACACGAACATGGATGATCACCGAGTGCTCAAGCGGTGACGTCCAAGTCTTGAGGACGGTCAAAAATGGGGTGTCTACAGTTGCCCCTTTTTGATAGAACTCAAAAGTCATAACAATGACGGGAGTGAGTGTCAAAGCGCAGAGACGACCCATTTTTGACAAGGCCAAAGACTTAGACAAACATACAAGCTACAGATAAGATATGCGCCCGAGGGCAGGGGCAAAATACAACTGACGATGCAAGAAGCCGAACATAACTTATGATCATGCAAAGAAAGCTGTAACGAAGCATATAATGCAACAGTTTTAAGCAATCAAACACAAATCCAACTACATTTCAATGCAAAAGGGATGTAAGAGACTTATGCAATTCTCGCTATGTTTCACGCGGAGAATACAATACCCGTGCGGTTCGTCTGGTTGCGCCAGCCTCAAATGAACCGTACATACAAATCGTGCCTGTAAAAGAGAGAAGCTTAGCAGGTACAATGTCGTTAGCAGTATGTATGACAATGCAATTGAAAGTGCGTCACAACGTAAATCGAGTGGGAAGCATAACGATACGACTGGAGGCAAGCATAACAATGCTATGAAGGCCTAAACACATGTAAGTAAAGAACACGTGGCAACGTGTGCAATGTGTACAAAAAGGAACTTGAACACATGTAAGTAAAGCGATGCGACAACGCATGCAATGTGTATAGAAACTTGAACACATGTAAGTAAAGCATAACGCGACAACGCATGCAATGTGTATAAAAAGGACTTGAACACATGTAAGTAAAGCATAACGCGACAACATATGCAATGTGTATAGAAAGGAATTTGAACACATGTAAGTAAAGCATAACGCGACAACATATGCAATGTGTATAGAAAGGAACTTGAACACATGTAAGTAAAGCATAACGCGACAACGTATGCAATGTGTATAGAAAGGAACTTGAACACATGTAAGTAAACCATAACGCGACAATGTATGCAATGTGTATAGAAAGGAACTTGAACGCATGTAAGTAAAGCATAACGCGACAACGTATGCAATGTGTATAGAAAGGAACTTGAACACATGTAAGTAAAGCGATGCGACAACGCATGCAATGTGTATAGGAACTTGAACACATATAAGTAAAGCATAACGCGACAACGTATGCAATGTGTATAAAGAGAACTTGAAGGGGCCGATTCAGTTTTGAAGCATGGTAAAGACATGTTATTCATGAAATTTGAAATGCAAAGCACTGCAACACAGTATAATTGAAGCGATTTGTGGAATTCACAAGACACGAAAAGGATACGGGAAGGGACATTCCTCGCACGCACCGAGCATTGCTCATAGATGATGCGGCTTGAGGTCAACTCGAAGGCCTACTAATGTTCTGAAAGTGCACTTCCTTGCACTGTCTTGAGTAATGAGGGTGCCAAGCCACATAGTTGACCCGAACAAGGGCGCGGGAGGTGTATTGGCCGCAAGGGGAGGTTACCGGTATCAATTCCGATACTCTGCTGCCCTGCTCTTCTTTTGCTTTACTTTTCTTTTCACTGGTAATTTAAGCACATTGCACTACCTCAGGCAGGTTTTACTTTTTCAATAGTGTGTATTTTTGCAAAACACATGACGGAAATGAAACAACTATTTTGTTCAAAAAGGTGTTACATTTGTGCTTTCTATGCATCGCATCGCATGGTATCACATAGCAATGTGAACGAAATTGAACTTGGTTTGAAAATCGAGCACTTGCATCGTAATAATCAGGTAGTGAACCGACTTACAACTCGATAAACAAAGAAACTCGATTAGCTAGCCAAGAGCGAGTACAACTCGATAAGCAACACAAAGACTTAAGGAATGTGAAATACAACTCGATAAGCATATTTACAACAACTCGATAAGCAAATGGGCGTGACGCCGCAAAATTCATCATCGGAGGGCATTGAAAGTGGCGGTATTCCACAAATCCTCAGCATGTTCAACATGTAAACAGCTCAGGGAGCAAGAAGGAATACCCCTGGCCACAGGGGAAAACCATCGGCCTCAAAAAGTGGCCATCGGCCAGCATCTTTGATAATAGGCCAAAAGTTGTGGTCGGTCGGTACTATACTTGGCCGGCCGGCCATAAATGGCAGAGACCAGCAGAATGCTGACATCTGTCCTCCACTCAACCTTATTCCCTACAAAAGGCTTCAGCTTCGTAGTTTTTCTTAATTCCATACTGATTTGCTCCAAATGGAAGAGTTTCTTGCCCAAAATCTCACAGCTTGGATTGCCAACTTGGACGGCTTGGAAAAGCTGAACTTCCGGGGTTTCGGCATGAATGCACTATTCACGCTGAGTCGCACTCCGCTGCACTTTTCGTTTCTCCATGCCGCGACAAGGTTTTGGAATCTGGTAACACATGTCTTTAGCTTTGGCGGGCAAGAGGTGTGTCCTACCTTCGAAGACTTTCAAGCTTTAATGGAATCCGAGTGCAATGAGGAAATCTTGCCTCAGCTTCGCTTTGACCACGCCCAAGCCTTAGGGCGAATGTGTGGACTTACTATGCACGACCGCTCGATCTTTGATTTGTGACGGAATGTTAGATATTCCGAGTTTGATTTGTCAGTTTTCTGATGCTGGCGACCGTAGTGACCATCATTGGCAAGGCTTTCAGCGACATGCCCTCTGTTTGTGCATGTTATCTCATTTCCT